TTGTGAAAAATTTATTTTAATAATATGTCTTTATAGAAATTACTATTCTTTCTTTTTATCTGTTAATATGGGTTATAATGAAATATTTTTATATATTATGGCCTATCATCCTTCCCACAAATAACTGGAGTTACTGTTATGCTGTGAATAATTTTTCATCTTATTTTTGTGACTTACTTACTAGACAGTAATTTTCTTTATAATAATTGGTGGAATTCATCAGTGACATTAATGTAGGAGGTTGGGTGTGGCAGAGTTGACAGGAGAAAAAGGTGGTACTTGTTAATTGCAAAATCCCTGGGCAGCCCCAGATAATTCTTAGTACTCTGTATGTAGACTTTCTCATGGGGTCCTGTAGATGCAGATGCAAAAAGAGAGCAGCTCAGTGAGAAGCCCACACTCATGGCTCGCAAGGGAGCCCACCCTGTGCCTTCTGCTGGAGAGAGCACCTTTCTTTTATATATATATATATATATATATATATATATATATATATATATATGCCCAACTTTTCTCTATAGACCTACTTCTTCCCTTACAACTTCACCCCTTATTTCTGAAATGAACTGTTAGTACTGTTTGTGGCTTGTCTTGTCCAATTCTTGAGGCACGAAAGACCTGGAATATTTTTAAATGGCAAGCCATTTTTAAAGGAACAACTGACAGGACAATCACTTGGTTGTAGAATACTTTCTTCTATTTCTTTATTTATCTATTTATTTATTTATCTATCTATCTTTTTGAGACTGGGCCTCAGTATACAGTAAAGGCTGGCCTCAGACTCACTGTGTAGCTCAGGCTGGTCTCAACTCACAGCGATGTCCATGCCTCAATCTTCTCTGAAGAATTTTTTCTTCATTTTTGAAAAATTTTATGTTGTGCAGGTGTACACTTGCACATTTATGTGGCATATATACGTATCTATATGTGTATATGTATATGTGTTGCTAATTTTGCATATGTGATTAATTAAATTATTTATTTTTCATGCAAATTATTATAGATTCAAAAAATTGATCTGAATATGTGTAATAGAGTTCACAGTATTATATACATTCTTCTAACATCAGTGTGATCATTAATTTTTATTTAATTTCTGATAAAATTAATGATTTTTCCTGTCTGTTTCTCTCTCTCTCTCTCTCTCTCTCTCTCTCTCTCTCTCTCTCTCTCCCCCTCAGTTTATATAGGTAAATATTAATTTTTTTTTTCATATTTTGTGGTGTTTTGGAAAGAACTGGACTCTGTATACCATTTTTCTACTGTTTTATTTTCATCTTTTTCATCTAATCTCTTTTATTTACTTTTTACTGCTTGCTTTGAGTTAACATAGGATTTTTGGCTATTAAAAATAACAATACACTATCTTTCTTATGCATCAAATAATTCAAACTTTGAGTATAGGCTTAGTTTAAAAAGAAAATTCAAAAATTCACAATTTTTGAATACATTGTAGAAATCATGAGAAAATATTATAACATTTCTTATGCTTGGCTTGTCTGGAATTGATAATTGTCTCTTGTTTCTTGTTTTCATTGATGCATATGATATTTTTTCATATAGTAAACATGGAGCACTTAAATCTGTGTTACAAAATGTATGGCATATTTTAATTTATGCTTCATAATTATCATTATAATTTACTCATAATTTCTTCCCTTGTCACAGCTTTAAGTTTAGTTTCTACAACTTTATTATTGTAAATAATAACACTGAAAATCTTAACCATCAAGATTAAATTATAAGGTTTTTAAATTATCTATTGTTTTGTATGCTAAAAAGAACCATTAATACTTTAGTGGAAACATTTTTAAGATATGCAATTAAATTCAGCAGTTATAATTAAATACACATAATTACTAAAACCACTACAACCAACTAAGAACAATTTATATACTGAAAGGCAGCATCTTATAGAGGCTACCAATGAATAGTAGAAACATCCCTCTCCATCAGTTATGAGTAAAACTCCTTCAGTGTATCAGCAAAGTCTCCAAAGAGCAAAGCGTATTCAGGTTTCAGTCAATAGCTACAAATTTTTGTCATTCTCTTGATTGTGGTTTGTAAAAAAATAAATAAATGAGAAAAGGTACTGATAGTAAATACATTAAAAATCGTTTCTAGCTCCAAGATGAATTCAAGTCAATTTGAAAAAAACATTATAACATAATAACTAAAAAAAAAAAAACTATGTAAATGGTTCGCAGGTTTTTATGGCAATACATTTTTATATATTTTAAAGAGAAAACAAAGGATATATATATATATATATATATATATATATATATATATGAAAAGATACAAGACCATAGAGATAGCTCAGGGGACTAAGCATCTGCTTAGGAAGGCACTGGTACTGGGGTTCAGTCCTGAGTAAAACACGCCAGGCCAGCTCCACCCCTGGACTTGTTAAGCTGGCCAAAGAGACGTGCTTGGTGGCACACACCTACAATCGCAGCACTCGAGAGGCTGAAAACAGGAGGATCACTACTAGCCTAAACTGTGTAGTGAGACCTTGTAGCACATACATATAAAACCAAACCAAAACAAACAAAAGGAAAGAAAAGAAATGATAGAGGATTTCACTAAACAAAATAATAGGAATTCCACGATGGTGGTTGTATTGCAAAATGCTTTCCTCAAATTAGTTGTTTAGATTACCAGATATAAGCATGAATAATGAATTTTTAAAAAGTTATAATAATTTGGAAGCACAAAAATATATATAAACATTAATTGCTCCTTTCAGTACATCAGTAGAAATCAACAGTAAAATTATCCAAGCTATCTATTGTACGTTTCAGATTTTGTTTATATTTTCAGGTTATTACACTCACTAGAAAAGATGTTTATACGTGGTTCTGAATTATTCACTTACAATTATGGTCTTTTATTTGCATCCACTTACCTATAAAAGCCTCGAGTTTATCTTTTGTATAGCTTAGTAATATTCCATTTTATAAAAATACTACATTTTTAAAAATCCATTCCTCGAGTGATAAACATTTGAGGTATTTCCAAGATTTAGTTATGACAAATTGCCATTCTATAAACTTGGGTGTACATATATCACTGAGATATGAAGTTTTAAGTTCTTTGGAAATATATCCATGGTGGGGGCTAAGCTGGGTTGAATGGGACCTGTGACCCTTACTTTCTGAGGAATGTTACACTGATTTACATGATGGTTGTATCAGCCTCCATTCCCACCAACAGTGGAGAAGGGCTCCATTTTTCCCACAGCCCCTTAAGCATTTGTTATTGGTTCTTTTTCTTTTCTTTTCTTTTCTTTTCTTTTCTTTTCTTTTCTTTTTTTTTTGTATTTTTTCAAAAGTTCTACAGAGTGTTTTGGGTCTCACTACTAGATCGGACTATTAGTGATGCACCTGTTTACAAGCTCCCAAGAGCTGAAATTACAGATAGGCTCCTCTACTCCCAGTCTCAATTTCCATCTCAGCTCTCAGTGTGCCCTGGGAGCGGGGCCAGCATAGCAGGCCCGGAAGGTGGCCCTGCGCCTGTTTGCAGGTGCTTGAATCCACTGAGCTATTTGGCCATCCCTAGTTCACTTATTGATGTTAGGCATTCTTTCTGGGATAAGATGGATTCTCAGTGTTGTTTTAATTTGCATTTCTTAAATGACCAAGAAGTTGAACATTTTTTCATATATTTACTTGCCATTTTTGGCTCTTAATTTGTGAACTATATATTCATCTCAGATGCCCATTTTTGAATTGGGTCTTTGAATTTTGTGAGCCAGATAGTTTTAAATTTTTTAGATATTTTAGATAGAAATCCTTAGACTCTGAGAGAGAGTTTGCTATACTTTTCTCCTAATTCAGGGTTTCTTTTTTGCACTTGCCAGGAAAGCACTTTTTCCACTGAGCTATTTCCCTGGCCCTGTTGGTGACTTCCCCTGATGTCAGAAACTTTTCAAAAAGATGAAATCTCAGTTGTTGATTTCTCAGATATTACCCATGTATTTTGATTTTTGTTTATGAACTTTCTTTCTACCCATATGATCTCAATTTTTCCACCTACTTTCTCCATCAGAAGATTTAGTGTTTCTGTTTTAATATATAAAACTTTGAACCATTTTTTACTTTCTTTTTGTGCATAGTGAAAGACATGGGTATAATTTTAGAATTCAGCATGTAGAAAAGCAGCTTTTCCAGCACCAACAATTAAAGAAGTTCTTTCTTCCAGTGAACATGTTTGGCTCCTTTGTAAAAAATAATGTGTTTGTAATTGCATCTGCATCTTATAATCTGCTCCATTGCCCTTAGTCTGTTCTATTTTTCCATTTTTATGCTGATTTTATCACAGCAACATTTTAGTATACTTGCAAGTCAAGGACTGTGATGTCTCATGCCATTTTTTTTTTGTTTGTTTGTTTGTTTCTCAGGATTGCTTTTGCTATTCTAGGTCTCTTCTTGTTTCAGATGAATTTTAGGTGTATTTTCACTAGATCTCTGAGGTATACTAATGGTGTTTTAATTTGGATTGCACTGAATTTGTATTTTGGGAGTATGACTATTTTCATGGTGTTGGTTCTTCATATCCATAAACAAGGAATATCTTTTCAATTTCTGAAACACTTTTGAACATATTTATTTTTACTGTACTTACATCACTTTGACTCTTTTTCACTCTTTCAAAATTTATACTACTGACCTACATTAAACAGTAATTAATTAAGCACCATCATGATCAGCATTGATTTTATTCTGATCTTAATTTTCATATTGTATGATAATTAGGGAATGTCAATTTTATAGGCTTTTAATTAGTGATTATTTCTGGCACATGCTTTCAATTACTTATTTTAATGCATATTAACCACCAGTGACTCTATTTTAGCATTTTTGTTTAAATTATTGCAATCATATTAAGTATCATACAAATAAATATATATGAATTATACATGAAACTTTATTTCCATGCTGATTGATGTTCATTCATTTAGCAATACAGAGCTGAAGTCTCTACACACAAAGCCTTACCTGATAGGTGATTTCCTTTGGTCTGGATCTGTGGCAGACACTATGCCTATGTGTGAGCCATGTGGGGTTCCTTCAAAACTTTCAAATACATAATAGGGGCTGAGAAAAACAGGAGGCTCATCAACATCTTCCACTTGGACCCTAATGTAAGTGGTGGAAGTTTCCATGTGGTAAGTCATGAGCTTCTCCTCTACGTGGCGGTTTCTAACTTTAGCCCTAATGCCATAGTGGTTCTGCTGCTCAAAATCCACTTCCTGCAAAGAAAACAGTATGCGTAGAACACATTACCTTAGTAACCTGAAACATTACAATAGGGGAAAACAAACCTTTCCTTGCTTAATTGTCCTTTATTTTTAGTTTGATTTTGTGCTCTACGTACATAAATTCTTTTGATATTATCACTATGCTGGCATAAATATTATTTGCAACTGATTACAAGCCTCTATTCATCAAGTTGCATGAAATAACTATATTTTCATTGTTTCTTTTGTGTTTGCAGTGCATAGTGATTACACTCATCATGAAAAGCTGGTCCATGTTCATAATATATTTTAATCCTTTTTATCCCATCCCCATCCTTTACCCCATCTCTATCCCAAGGTCTGACCATCTTTTCCTTTACAAAAATCTTCCTGTTCTCATTTAGGTTTTAATTTATACCTTTAGGTCCAGTGAGGTAATTCAGTAGTCTAAAGCTCCTGCTTAGACAAGTGCAGGGACCTTTGTTTGATCCCTGGAAACACATGCTGTGCCAACCCTATTCCCAGGGTGAGCTGAGCTGGACTAAATAAATAAATAAATAAATAAATAAATTTATACTTTTGTAGCTATAAATATCTTCTGTAATTGGAAATTAATTTTCTGGTATATATGATCTTTTAATGGAAATGTTTTTTATTTGAATTTTTTTCTTTAACATTTCTTCACCTTTCAAGAAACTCTATTAAAATATTTTATCTCTAAACTTATTTTCTCCCTAAACCATATCACAGAATTTCCTTTCAATTACTTAATGGAGCAAAAATCTACCAAGTACACAAAATAACTATGCATACTTTTAGTTTGATTTCACACTGTTGTGCAAAGCAAATAGTTTTAATCTATTTACCTTTTTTAATATAACAATTCCTTCTTGGGTTTCATTATTGGTAATGATGTCAAATGTTTGAGAATCATCTTCAATGAGGTAATCCATTTCTGCATTTTTTCCTATGTCATTATCATATGCTATAATTACTCCTACAGTTGTCCCAGCAGGTGCAGATTCAGAGACAGTTAGACGATAAAAACCTTTAGAGAAAAAAAATTAAGATGTTTTCCATAAAAACTCTAACATATGAAATTTCCAGCTATGGCTTTCATTCTTTATAATCTGTAGGAAAATCTATACCTGCCATTTCAGTTTCTTGTTCTAAATCTCAATATATCTTTCAGCGTATGGGTTTTTTACCTGTTCACTGATTTCACTTTCGAAGCAAGGAACATTTTCTTAATTTCCTGAGTACCTTTGTTTTTAAAATATCTTAGATGATCTTAAAAGCAGAACATATAACTCTAAGTTTCCATTTGTACACAGATCTTCTTAAACTCTCTTGATTGGCTGTTACTGTATTGTATCTTTCTACCATCTATTGTATCTTTCTACCATCTATTGTGAAATTTGATGAAGAGTTTCAATTTACTTGAATATTCCCTGATGTGAGAAGTTGTTGATGAATTTAAGTGTAGATTAAAGCTGTGAAAAACTGAAGACAAATCACTGAGCTTTAAAATTGTCTGAATTTGAGGTTGTGTGCTTGAGTTACATTACCCACAATGTGAAGGTAAAAGAGAAAGTGACAAAAAACTATTAATATATGGATGTAAGAGATAAAAAGTGTTGCAGCCAAAGTGACACAAATGATTTAGTAGTGAGAAAGTGATGATAAACTGGGGAGTCCCTTGAGACACCCACTGGATCTATGTCTGCTCTGCTGGATTGGGGATTCAGAAGACTGCTCATTGCAAGGATTTGTAATATCCTGAAGACAAGATGTTTTGCCAATTCATGCAGAGTCAGATCAAACAAAGAAAACAAAGAAGCAATCAAAGGGACAATCTGATAAAATATAATTATTTAGCCAAATGGTCAGCATTCCTTGATTGCTTGCTTAGCTACGTAAAACAAATATCTGCACTCAGCAGGACTCGATCCCTTTGTTGTTCTTCAATCAATTCTGGTGTTTCAGTCTGTGCAGGGCCTCATTCCATCACAGTGATGTCCCTTGGCCCCCAACAAAAATATTCTTTGTCTTTCATATCTTTATTCTTTTCTCTATATCAGAGTTTGCTGGCTCAACTCAATAGCAAACACATTTAAAATACATGAATAGGGGTGGAGGAGATGGCTCAGTGGAATAAGCACTTCCCTGGCAAATGCAAGGGTCTGAGTTCAATCCCTGGTTCTGCCAAAAAAATAAAAATGAAACTAAATATAATAAAATACATGAATATATCCACCAATTATTGAACTATTTTTCTATAAGTAGCATAAATAAAACACAAATAATGAATTCTACCATTCTCAAATTACTTATCTGTAATTTGTTATGAAAAAAAGAAATAATGATGAATGTCAATATTCTAAAGATTGTTTCCTAAATTGAACAAATCAGATATAATGAAATTATTAAAAGAAATCATTGGTTGCTTTAGAAGCATGCAATATTGACAAAATATATTTTGAGAGTTCACTGTTTGTTTCCTTTTAAATGTATTTTAGTACAGGACCTGCAGGGTCTCACTACACAGATCAGACCCCTAGTGTTCCTCCTGTTTTCAGCCTACCAAGTTCTGGGTTTACAGGTGCCCACCACCACACCCAGTCTCAATCACCATCTCAGCATGCCCCAGAGGTGGTGCCAGCACAGCTCCCTGGGGATCCTACCTCAGTCCCGGCACCTGCCTAAGGAGAGTTTCCTGTTATTAAAAATTGTAAAAATATTACTCTTGCTGATATTTTTCTGAGCAATATATGAGAATGCAAATAATAATTTAATTGTGCACTGTTTTTCCTTGCAGAAAACAAAAATAATTTTCGCTTGTGTACAATAAAAATATCCAATAATTGGAGAAAACAATGGCACTTTTGCAAACATAAAAGTAGATGTCTTACATTTTAGCTTTGTTGAGCTTATACTAATGGTGTTAGCTTTCAAAATTAGAAACATCCAAAATAGATCCTTCAAAAATCAATTAGTATGTGCAGATTTTCAGATATTCAAAAATCAGTGAAAACATGTGTGTTGAAAATGTGTTTTAAAAAGCCAGACATGGTGAGGCACCAGTACCTCATGAAGCCATGGGAAGTGGGCTCTTTGGAGAGAGCTGAATCTAGTGTTTCTGACTGGTTCATTTTTCATGCAGGGATTAGGAGTGTGAGTTCTAAACATACATGCAACTAAAAGAAGGAAAAGAGGCTTTCTCTTCCTTTTCCCTCTTGTTACTTTGCTATCTTTCCTGCCATGAAAGGTTGCCCTCTGCCACACCACCCTACCCTGAAACCTCCACAAATGGAAAGCTAAATAAAACTTTTTCTCCTTGAACACTGAATGTTGGCTATTTTGTTTTAGCAGTGAGAAAAAAGTAAGTAAGACAGCCACATAGTGATTTCTAGGCTAACCTTAGCAATATAGAGACCCTATTTCAATAAACCAAACAAAAACAAAACAGAATATATATATATATATATATATATATATATGCATGCACAAAAAGCATAATTTATTCACATGATTCTTTTCCTGTTTCTCTTACAGTAACAAGAAAGAGCATTTACACAGATACCTAAATCTGCTTACATGTTAAAATAAAACACATGAAATAAGATATTGGAATGCACAAGGCAAAATTATGCTCAGATGCTTAGATTTATATAACGTAGAAAATGACCCATTGTGCACCTGAATTGTTGAATAGAAGTTGAAATAAAGGAATGAACATCTCAAGAATTAAATTTCAGAAAAATAAAAAAGTAGAAATCAATTGTTTTGCAAATGCAGTGAGGAGTGCATTTGCCTGGTATTGGCCTTTTGGACAGCAAAAGATAGACAATGTATCAAGAGGTCATAGACAAGACTGAAGGGTGACAGAACATAGCAAGGTTAGCAGTGATTAGGTTTCACTGAAATTTTTGACGTTTTCTTGACTGAGGTGGGAAGACAATGACATGACAGTGTCTGAGTTCATGTTTACACTATCAATAAGGCTGTATTGAGCTGGAAAGATAGCTCGGTGGTCTAAGTCCCTGTCTGGCAAGCCCAAAGGCCTATGTTCGATTCACAGTATTATGTGCTGTCCCAGCCCCTCAACCAGATGTGATGGCACATGCCTGTGATCCCCCCCCCCCAGTGCTTTGGACACTGAGACAGGAGCATCACTATGAATCTGAGCTGAGTAGTGAGACACCATACTAAACAAATAAAGACTTTTTAAAAAAAATCAAGCTGTACTGATATAAAGTAGAGTGATGGCACAGGCAGAGAAACTAAATGAATGAGTACTGCACTATTAGGCCCAAATTCAGGTGGTAGCACTTTCCAAATGAGCAGAAATGGTGGTGGTATAGTTAGCAGTTTTCAGATATTTTTTAATGTAGAATCAGTTAGATGTGCATTGGTGGAGTTCATGAGATAATTCTGAATGGAGCTATAAGTTTGGAAGCTTTCATCCTAGAGATCATTTCTACAACCACCCAAGTGGATAAGACCAGAGTGCAAGGAGCTCTTCAGAGGACAGGATGTTTTGACTGAGAAAGAGAAAGGGAAAGCAAGAAAAGACTTGTGAGCTTCTAATAAAATTATTTTCTACTCTCGTATCGAGTGGTGTGTGTGTGTGTGTGTGTGTGTGTGTGTGTGTGTTTGCTCAAATACAGAAAATCAGAAATTATGAGGAAATCTGTAGAACTGAACAGAAATTCAGGTAGGATAAGTAATTAGGTTTGACTTGGATACAGATGGTGCAATAGGAATTGTATTATTAAATCTTTTCATACAGTGGTGATTGTATTGAACAAACAACATATCAGTTTAAAAGAATGAAACCTGATTTGTTAGTGACTTACACGGAAAAATCTATAGGAAGACAAGGCTTTGAGAAGGAAGATAAGACCAGAGGATCAATAAAATATTGTGAATATTAAATTTTCTTGATATGATAATGAGGATTATGTTTAAGAAGTTAGATGTGCATTGGTGGAGTTCATGAGATAATTCTGAATGGAGTTATAAATTTGGAAGCTTTCATCCTAGAGATCATTTCTACAGCCACCGGAGTGGATAAGACCAAGAAGCAAGTGTAATAAGCTGAGAAATATGGCCCACTTGAGCCACTCATACTCTAAAGTTTAAAATATATAGAGATGAATTAGAACTTGCAAATAAAATGATGAGAGAATAAATGAAAAGAAAAATCTAATGAGAAAGTGAGAGTTTCATGGAAGCAGCATTCACATCTCGGACTCGCAGTGGTCCTCCTGTTTCAGCCTTCCCGGCACTGGTACTACAGGCATGTGCCACTATGCCTGGTTTCTTTGGCTGGCTCAGCATGCCCTGGGGTGGGGCCTGCACAGCATGCGGTGCTGGGGATCAAACGGTAGTCTCTGCACTTACCAAAGCAGGTGCTTGGTCCACTGCATTACCTTTCTGGCCCTTGGACTGGACTTCTTCAATGTATCAAACTACTATTCTTTCTATAAATCACATACCAAATATTTATAATGTCCTTCTCTTTTAGCTTTAATTAGTCATTTTTCTCCTTTAGAAGTCATATACTTTAGGAAGTTAAATTTATGATGCAGAGAGAGAAATATTCCTCACACATTTTGACAAATGTAGCTGAAGTTTTAAGCTACTGCCCTTGGCCTGTATCACAAACACAAGCTTAAGTTTGGGCATAAATCAATATCTAAATTTCAAACAAAACTTTTTTTTAAAATACAGAAGAAACAAAATTTTGAATCTGTAATATAGTCATGTATTTCTCAACAGTGGGTCTATGTTTTGAGAAATGTGTGTTAAGATGCTTTTGATCCTGTGCAAATATAGAGTATCCTTATGCACCTTGATTATACACTATCTACATTGCTTTTTAATGTATTTAGTTGTTGTAGGGTCTCACTACACAGCTCGGACTCATGGTGATCCTTCTGCTTTCAGTTACCACAGCACTGGGATTACAGGCGTGTGCCACTATACTAGGACTCTGACAGGCTCAGCCCAACCTTGGGGCAGGTCTGGCGCATGTGGTACCAAGGATGGAACTATGGTCCCAGCACATGCTTAAGCTTGCCTGAACAGGTGCTTCAGTCTACTGAGCTATCTCGCTGGCCCCCACCTACATTATTAAGCTTCCAAGCTACAAATATGTACAGCACCTTACTGTGTTGAACAAAATAGACAATTGTAACACAGTGATATTCATGTATTTAAACATAGAAAGATACACTAAAAATAATAAGGGATAGGGATTTTTAGGTCCACAATAGTCTGAAAGGATCTCTGTTAGTTGTTGACAAAAACATCTTTGTATAGTGCAGAACTTTTTTCTTGAGTAGCCAGGAGATTAGACAATCCTAGCATGGAAAGAATTGACTAATCTGATCAGAACAGTGTCTACATTCATTAGACTCTTGTGCTTGTGGATGTGTCTGTACAGTGGCAGTTCCTCTCAAGTATCCACATCTAATTAATGGCAAACCCAGAATGTGAAGACAAATTTACATGGTGCCAGCTTCCTTTGATTATACATTGACTATTACACTAGAAGGAGATCAGTGAAAATAAAACTTCACTTGAGCCATCAGATTGCCATGATTTAACTTGACTTTGAGGAATGGGTAAGGTGATGAAGAAAGAAGGAGAACAAAAAGCAATCAAAAGACAGCTTTATTCCTATATATCAATGGCCAACAACTAGAAAATCATGGTATGGCTGAATAGATATGTATATAAATGCAATAACATATATATGCATATTTATGCATCTCAATTATTTTTATCTTCTTTCTTTCCTGCCCTAGAGCTTCTGAAAATAACACAATCCTTGCAGATAACTTGATCATAGATGAGACAGACCCACACCAAGCTTTCTTAATGCAATGGCTCACTGGAAGCCAAGGAATGTGTGGCAACTTGTTAGAACATCAATAGAACACTGTATAATATCACTTTGTTTGTATTTGACTTTCATAGTTTTAATTATATCTTGGATTAGTTGGAAGATTTAATTTAGGAAAATCTTTCTTGAATACAGTAGTTTTAGAATGCAAACTCTAAAATTTGCATGTGTTCAAAATACTCATTTGTACATTATAATGAAAATTCAGTGTTGTCTACTTACTGTCTTTAAATATAGGTTTATTGTCGTTAATATCTAAAAGCTTTATTAATACACTTGCTGTTCCAGACAGTGCTCCATGCTGCCCAATCATGTCTTTGGCTTGAATAATTATCCAGTACTCATCTTGTAGTTCTCTATCCATTTTGGAAGATATTCTTATGATTCCTTTAAAATATAATAAAATTTTAATTATTGCTTTATTATTAAGCATAACATCTTCCTTTTTACTCTCTTAATAATTCCCCGATATAGTCATTCTTTTTCTGTGTGTTGAGCCACCTCATATTGAGACACTGACCTGGAGAACAATAGCAATAATGCCTACTACATCAACTCTACCCAGAGTCCAGATTTCTCAATGCAGCACTAAGAACGCTGGTAGGCCATTCCTCAAATATTGTCTAAATTGCCATCCACATAGTCCTATATTTTTTAACTCTTTCTTTCCTCAGAGTTTTAGTACATTTCCTCCAGATCCTGGGAGGCCTGTCCACTTTCTCTTCCCCTGGGGTGCAGGTTCAGAACAGCTTTCTGGTTTCACTGTGCTCTGCCATGACCACACAAACATAAGTTGTATTCCTTGTCTTGCTCTCATTGCATCTTTTTTGTTCCACTTTTAAATTACATGGTAAAAGTATGCATTTACTAGTATACATGTTTACTGGTTATAAGTTGCAAGAGAAGAAGCTTTATGCTTTCTTTTGCTTTCTTAGTTAATATGATTTTAAAAGTTGCAATACTAAAAAAATAAATATAAGTTGCAATATTAAGCCTCTAAATATCCAGTCTATTTCTAATGCGTAGCACATAGCCTTTCTCAACCAGGATTGTGTGAAAAATTAAATCCTAGTGTATCTGCATTTCATTTTTGCCCACTGACCTGGAGTGAACCCAAGACATTCCCACTACTAAATCACTAATTTACCCAGTTGGGTAACAATTTCCCATCCTCTTGCCTCAGCCTCCCATTCGGCTGGAATTACAGGCATGGTCCACCAATCCAGGCTAAGACTTAGTATTTTAAAGATGAAGCAATCTATAATCTTTTGAGGGGGTTTTGTTTTGTTTTGTTTTGTTTTGTTGAGAAAGGGTTTTGCTCTGGGTAAAGGCTGGGCTTGTACTCACAGTGTAGCCAAAGCTGGCTTCCAACACCCAAAGATCCTACTGAGGGCTGGAATTACAGATGTGTATTGCACACCCGTTAATTTAGCTAATATTTAGTTTCAATGTACAACATGTTTCTATGCAGATAATTTTTGCTGATATTTGCATGGTTTAAAATGAGATTGAGGGCTGGGGAGATAGCACAGTAAAATAAACTCTTGCCTTGCAAGTGCAAGGGCCTGAGTTCAATCCCCAGTTTCGCAAATAAATAAATAAAATAAAATAAAATGAGGTTGATTTGAATTTTATGCTATTCACAAATACCTGTTGTTGGTTCAACAGAAAAATATGGTTGGCCTTGTACTAAGTTGTAGAGGAGACGAGCATTATTGCCTGTAGCAGGGTCATCTGCGTCACTTGCTGTCACTTGGATGACACATGTTCCTGAAGAGAAAATATGTGTTGACAGGAAAGTAAGGCTTTCACTTGGTCCAATAATGAATTCAATTTTGCTAAGCACTCTTTATTTAGCCAGTAAGAAGATGATCTAAAACAAAATTGCACCTTACTTCCTGTTCCTGATTTTTTTATGAACAAAAGTTTACAAATACATAAAAATAGACTTAACTCCCATAGAAAATTAGAATTCTAAGCTTGAAGATTATAGCATAATACAATGTAGTTACTAAAAAATTCTTCCCAAAATATAATTTATACTCATTCTAAGAGGTATTATTAGTGGAAAATAAAAAAGAACTTGAAAAAGTGTTTAAATAAAACAATAGTGTGGTTTATATCTTAAATATATAGCAGAATATTGAAAAATATTTGTGAAAGCTGTTGAACTTGAAAGAGTATCTTATTGAGTATAAGCATGGTATTTAGCTCTACTTCATTCTTTAACTAAACATATACTTCCTTTGAAAATTAACAAAGAAGCCAAATCTAGCAGATATCAATGAACTAAATATTTCCAATAGAATTTAATAATGAATAATGCAATCAACTGGAGCAACTATAAGTACATCTAATATGAAAGTCCAATATTGCATAATAGTATAGAAAATGTTGAGATTTTAAATTACGTTTCTATAAATATGAAATCTAATATTACCAATTTCCTTGGAAATGCACATATGTTGAAAAAGAATACCATGCAATATTTTTAAAGTCAAATAATATATAAGAAATTTTATAGATATAGATAGATATTACATAGAGACTAACTCAAATTAGCTCAGACTTCTAGAGTAATATTTATTCGTCTCTGAGAACTAAAACATAGTGAAAGTATCAAATCTCTAGAAATGAAGTAAATCTACATTGTTACAGTGGTAATAAGAGTTTGGTAAGAATTACTACTGGCTACGTAGTTATCTACTCTTTATATAAGATTACTGCAGCAAAAATATGCAGCGGTATTTCCAAACAACATATATATATGGAGAGAGAAAGAGAGAGAGAGAGAGAAAGAATTAAGAGCTTAGGAGCTGGGGAGATAGCTCAGTAGAATAAGAGCATTCCTGCATTCAATCCCCAGTATCACCAAAAAAAAAAAAAAAAAAAAGAGAGAGACAGAGAGAGAGAGAATTAAGAATTTATATATAACATAAATAAGAATTAAGATATATTATGTAAAAGTATTGAAGGAACAATTGGCAATTTTAACAATTTTCATATTTAATATTACTCTGTTATTCTACAGTCATCATTGCCATATTATCAGCTGATTCCTACTTCCTTTTCTTGCTTATTTATTATTTTCATTCAAATTCATAGACTATTTTAAACAATTAGAAATGCTTTCAATTATTTGGTTTTTTCACAAAACAAAAGCTAAGTATAATATGTAATCCTAGTTATTTCCTTATCAATAATTTAAATTCTGGAGAAATATTCAACAGAGTTGACTGTGAAAAAGAGCAGCAATAATAAGTAGACATCAAAGCAAAGGAAATAAAACATTTGATAAGATGCATCCATCTCTGCTTTCCATGAGGACTATGGGAAAATTAATATGTGTGTTGTAACCAGTAGTCAGCGCAAAATTGATAAAATTGGAGCTGGTGAGATAGCTCAGCAGGCGAAAGCACATGCTTAGGCAAACTTAGGCAAGTGCAGGGACCACGGTTCAATCCTAGCACCTAGAGCAGATTGAGCTGGCCAGAGTCCAGGCATAGTGGCACATGCCTGTAATGTCAGAGCTGGGGTGCTGAAAGCAGGAGGATCACCGTGAGTCTGAGCTGCACAGTGCGACCCTGTAACAATGAAATACATTTCTTTTAAAAAAAGACAAAATTACTGTAAGATAAATAATGCCTTTCAATGAAAATGATCAATTGTTTCATAGACTCCCCTTTTTCACATTACCAGTTAAATATAGATTAACTCATGTGATGATGGACATATCAATTATCTCTTCATTAATCTTATAACAATATATGCAATCCAGCTTTCATTTATCAGTGATATGAAAAACATAAAGATTGAATCATTGTAAATGTCACCACAATGCTCTTTTCAAGTACAGCAGGCTTTCTTTTCTATAATTACCTCTTTTTGTGATAGGATCAGAGATTCATGCTAGAATCACTCTTCAAATGTTCATAAGCAGTGTACTTCTCCTCTTTTGGTCACTGGATTCCTGAACTACATGTCAATCATTGCACAAAATGTGATTATTTTTCAAATATTATGGGGAAGGTTAGGAAGGTGGCTTGGTGGTCTTAAGTACCTGCCTCAAAAGTGCGAGGACTCAACTCAATCCCCAGTGCTGCATGCCTTGCTGGCTCTGCACTGAACAGGCCACTGAAACTGTGTATGGTGGCACATGCCTGTAATCTCAGTGCTAGGGAAACCAAGACAGAAGGATCTCTGTGAGTCTTAGCTGCATAGGGAGACCCTTTAATATGTAGGTAAATAAATAAATAAATTTTAAAAGTATATTATGGGGAAAATAAAATATTATGGGAACTACTCTGGTTCAAAACTGGCCCATTTCTGTGTACGTATGGAAATGTTTGAAACATTTTAGTTTTATAGAAAATTCTATTTTGGAATTTTAAACCAAGAAAATATACTTGAATTATAAAATATTTATAAGTCATTTTCAGGTATAGAACATATTGTCAATGAAAAAGTATACATGTACACCATATGTATCTGTACACATACTGTTCTATCTACATGGTATGGTTGGATGTTAAACATATGCTAACAGCTCTTGTCTTGAAAGTTCGGCCCCAGGTAATGGTGTTTTGCGGAGGTCACAGAGACTGGGAGGTGGAGCACAGCTAGAGGAAGTAGGACTCTGGGACTGTGCCTTTGAGAAGGATATTTTGTTCCTACCCTTCTCTCTTTCCTTGATTCTTGTTTCTAATGAAATGTGCTCCTGTGTTCCAACACACACTCTCCATTGGAAAGATCTGCTTCACCAAGCACCCAGAGCAAATCTGTGAAACATCAACTGAAACCTCAGAATCCAGAAACCACAAAAGACATTTCCTCTCTTAAGTTTTCTTTCTCAAGTATTTTGTGACAATGATGCAAAACTGACTAACATAACTTGTCTACATACACATTATATATGGTTAAGTATGTCACATATGCATATATATAATACAACATGACATATATACATATATGTATATGTGTATATATATATATATATATATATATATATATATATCATAAGATATGTAATCTGTCTACTTTTAAAAAGGGATCTAATGCAGATTCTAAAAATTGTTCAACTGTAATTTCAGATAAATTAAGTGATAATTTTATAGCGCAATTTATTTTCAATAGAGTATGGATCAGTTGGTCTGATCACATAAGTGGAAGGCTGTTTTAACATTACAATATCATAACATACTTTGGGCTCAATGAAATTTGAAATAAAAATATTAAAAACTTACATTAGATTTTAAAAAACATAAAACTCACCTTCATTTTCAGTAAAACATAATATTTAATGTAAAAAAGTAACAGTCTACATCTGATAGTAGATTTTTTAAAAAATAAAGCAACCACATTTAATTGAAAATTTAAAACCCTTCCATATATAGATATGTATAGATGTGTGTGTGTGTGTGTGTGTGTGTGTGTGTGTGTGTGTGTGTGTGTATGTGTGTGTGTGTGTTTTCCTGGAGTGATGGTATGCTCCTTTTTTTTTTCTTTTTTCTTTTTTTAATTTTTTGGTAGAACTGGGGATTGAACTCAGGCCCTTGTGCTTTGATAGTATACTCCTGTACACCCAACACTACTTGGGAGGCTAAGCAGGAGGATTTCCCTGAGTTCAAGGCCAGTCTCTCAGTGAGTTCAAGTCCACATTGAGATGCTGTCCCAAAAAAGCACCCGAAGGTCACCAGTCATCTCTGGGGGCAGTGTGGAAGGTTCAGAGTGTGACTGAACTGTTAGGAAAGTCAAACAGCTGCAATGCCCAGACTCTTGAAGTATAAGTACCCTCTTATATCAATGTCCATAGTTTTAGATTAACAAATGCATTATTAGAAAACAAACATTTTTTCTCAATCATATTGAGTAATGTACCAATCTATAAGCTTTTTCAAATCGAAAATAAAAGTAGAATCAATGTTATAATTCTGGGTTCTGTTTTTATATCTTTAGTTAATATCTTTTGCCTATATCAATATTAAAAGCCTCTTTTAATAAGCACAAATTTAAATTATTAGTTATGTATTTCAACTAGCTCCTGAAACTTTACAATTATCTGCTACAAAAAGTTCTTGTGAAATTAAGTTTAATCTGATATTTGGTTTCTCCCATTTTATTATTTACTGTGGTGAAACTTATGAAGGTAATCAGATACTAACTAGTACCAAGTACTTCAGAGAAAGGCATATATTGGCGTTCTCTGGAAATTGCTTTAGCTGATATATTCTTTAGTTTGTTATGACATACACAGAAAATTATAATGAAACAAAAGCATGACAATATAAGGTAAAATACTTATTGTGCATGTGAAATTACATGTATGTTTTAGATTGTTGTGATAGTGTTGATTAAATGCCAAGATGTATCAAGATTCATGAATTACTTAAAGATTGAAACTGTTAATAATACTTTTCAGCACATCAGATTTATTCTGTTCTCACTGAGGGCAACCTGACGTAAGAAATGTGTAATGCTTTCACACAATATTGAGTTATTTGAATTTTATTATCAACAAACAGTTTTACTGAAGATTGAATGTGTTACAACGAAATGTTAAGTTTAACATTAGTAACAGGCTTTAGTGTGTGATGTCTCATCTCACATAGAATGTTTTATCCTCCAGCAATTATGGGTGCCATCCGAACACGAAAGCATAAAAGAGTTATAAATTTTTATGTGCAGACTAATTTAGATATCATGTAGGCAATAAGAAACTCAGAAACCTGTGGCAAGGGCAATTTGTAATTAAAGCTCACATTTATTACAGA